CACACACACACACACACACACACACACACACACACACACACACCTCTAACTGTTGGTGATTGTTAATGACTAAAATTGTTAGTTTCTCTCTGTCAGCATAAAGTTTTTGTTTGACAGCACTCACTGCATCATCCATTCCTAAGAACAGTGGGAAGTCCAAGGACCTCAGTGAAGGTCGCAGAAGGAGAACTGTGAATTTACACAAGTTGTGAATGTCCATTGGACCCATTCCTAAACAACTACACTTTTCAAGATAAGTACAAGTTATTCCAGTGTCTCACCACCTCACCAGTGTCTGGAAGAAGAGTCGAGCTGTCATTCTGAAATGAGACACTGGTTAGGATGTTCAGGAGCAACCCAGAAACCACCAAGGGTCAGATCTGCTATGAACTGCTAACAGCTGCTAATAACAGCATCCACAATGAAGTGAGTACGTCGCCATGGACGGAGAGAGTGCTGACCGAAAAAGAAGGCCCCGCTCCGAAATAGACGGCTGCAAACTTGACATGAAGCCAACTGCCCTTTGGAGACAATTCAAAATAAAAAATAATACCCAACAATACAAAATAATACCCAGTTCTTCTTCTTTTTTTTTAAGTTGTTAAAGACACATACTGTATAAGCAGTCCACCCTGGAAAAAGAACGGCTGAAAGAAATCACTTAAGTCCAAAATGAGAGTTTGTAAACTGACCACAGCTGTATATGATAAATAAGGTGAATGCTCTGTAAATGATGAAGGAAAGGCTCTGCCTTCACCTGCCTTTGCTGATGTAAATCAAAGTACATTCCACTTGGCCGTTTATAAAGAGAAATCTGTACATACTGTATGCATTGAAAACTTTATAAACCAGTGAATGTCAACCGTGATCCGTTTATAATATTTATCGTTATCATAGACCTGAGCCCATACATGTTTCTGCCCCAGCTCGTCACACTGTCCATAACGGTGTCTTGTCCTGAGTGTCAGTCATGTGATTTGAAGTTTTATCTGTTTGTATATAGAGAAAGCAAGAGCACATCTTTGAATGCAGATTTGCCATCATGTTTTATTATTACAGGTAGCAGACTGACGTGGTTATGGACACTCCGTCAGCTTTTATACTCTGAGAATCAAAGAAATGACGAATGCACTTTTGAACCTGGTTGATTCTGCTGTGTTAAACACTCAAAGAGCTTTTCTGCCTTTTTGTTTTTAATGACTCAGTGATGTTTCTATGACTGTTTTATTCTGTGACTCTGGGAGGCACCACTGGTACAGAGTAGCTCAAAGTCATTCAGAAAGACGTGTTTGTTGTGTGAAAGTTGGTGGAGCCGGTGCTGTGCGTTGGTCTGGTTATTCACATCGGCTTTTCAACAGCTGTGAATGTCCACTTTATTTAGATCATAAAACACTCTTAATTATGTGTTGCAAACTGTGGCCACCAAGATATCACCCATTGGTTTATTATTATTATTATTATGAGGCCTCACCATTTTTTTTATAGACACATTAACACTAAACAAGTAAAACAATAATGAAATACAAAAACTTCCCTTACCAAAACTGAAGAAAAAGATGATCTGTCCATTAAAATATCTCCAGTTCTGTGATCCTTGTAGTTCAGTTGGTAGAGTGCCACCAGCTACAGTTGTTAGCATGCTGCTAACTGTTATATCAGTATTAGGGATGCAACGATACCAATTTTTTCAAACCGATACTTGGATCTGAGTACTTGCCGATACAGAGTACAAAAACCGATACTTCTACCACACACACATGCAATGAATTGGAAGACAGTTTTTATTTTATTCTCTGCCGATAATAAATAATATCTTAATAAAAATGACCACAAAAAAATTTCAAGTGAAAAATAAGCACTTCTGTTAAATTATTGCAGAGTCTCTTCATTGTAATTTAACAAAATATCACTGAACTATTGGCACTGTCTCCAGCTTTCGGAATAATAAATAAACACTTCTGTTTGGAATAAAATAAATACAAATTAGGTTTGGAATAAAATAAACTTTTAAATTGTTGCAGTGTTCATAATGTAAACAAACAAACAAAATAACGAAAGCATTTGGCATTGACGAACGAACTCCCCATCTGCCCGTGGATCATCAGTCCACTGTGCCGTTAAACCAAGGACTGACATCGCGCACACACTGCTTGTCTTTACCTCTTTAGAGAGTTTTGGCACCTCCCTGATGTGTGGGCAGCTGGGAATTTCATATCGCAGCTCGAGTGTGCTGAGAAGAATCCTATGTTTTCCACGACCGGCATTGGCTGGTCATCCAGAGCGATAAAATGAGTCAGAGCCTCTGTTATTTTAACTGCCCGTGGATTTTCTCTTGACATTTTTCATCGCTTTTCCAAAACCTGAGCTATGGCTGTTCCGGTCCACACTGCTGACATTTTGTTTAGCCTAGCTACAGCAGCCTCCAGTTTCTCTTTTTTTATCTGGAGCTGCCGGTCTGACTCGCCTAACCCTGTGCCTGTTTAGCGCGGGATGTCCCCCTAGTGGCCAATCTAAAAAACTACAACAAAAATGACAAGCCACCCTCTGATTAATGAAATAAGTTAGTATCGGTTCATGGTATCGGTTAACTGTTACGAGTATGAGTACACACACATTTTACAGTATCGGCCCCGATACCAGTATCGGTATCGGTGCATCCCTAATCATTGCATCCCTAATCATAAATAACCAATTTATGAAAAAATGAAAACTATGTGTTATGGGGGTGTTAATCCAAAGGCTTTCCAATGCTGTAAAACTGGCATTTTAAAATGGGACACGTCATGGTCTGACTTCCTTTTAGCGGCAGCAGAAGTGGACCCTAGAGGAACTGCAGTGATAGTTTGAACTTATAAAGCTTCAGTGTTTTTTTCTGCTTGTTTGTTATCCCTTTAAAGAAAATGGAACTTGGAAAAGAAAAATGCAAACCCACACAGATTAGAAGTGTGTGTCCACAATTTGTAAACTAAGGTGGATTCACAGTGCCTAGTTTTGGTCATCTAAAATTATCCAGACCCCATTCAGATTGACACCCCCCAGCATGACTGTCCTATATTTGTAACAATTCATTAACAGCATTAACTGTTATTTATTATTATTTGGTTTTCATATGTACCCGTTTTCAGTGATTTCAACTTTAATAGGAAATTAACCAGGCACATAATTCTTTCTCCCTTTTTTGCCATATTTTTCAAGTAACCTATATTTGGTCGATGTGTCAGGGTTTTTTTTCCTAGCAGTAAAAAGAAAGATAAACGTAAAGGTAAATTACAGGATCACGTAGTCTAGAGCCGTCTGTGTGAAGTAGTTTGGCTGTTTAGTTGGGTTTGAAAAACAGCACCTGCCTACATTTGTTTCAAATTCTGCACATTTGGTTAGAAAATCAACGTTACCTGATTTTTCCCCACACTTCTGACACCACTGTGGCAATATAACTCTGATATGCAAAGATTTTGCACACGTCCCATGTCCTAAGATCAGGAAATGACAATAATATAGTTGTACTTTTTTTGTTTAGCTGCTTCATTTGGTCTGTGATTATATCAAAGTTATATAAAAGTGTCTCTTTTCATTTGTTTGTACCCGTTTTTCTTCCGGGGGGTGTTCCACTGGAAGCGATTGTACTGCGTGGGTGGGTGTGTTGTTCAGTCCTCCGCGCCACGGTGGCGCTGTTTGCACGGTGAGAAACTGAAATGACGAAGAAAAAAATCTCCGGAAACTGCTTTTTGTGAGCACGCGGTGCGTCCGGCCTTTCCGACGGAGCAGCGAAAAGGAACATGGTGGGGGACTCTCACTCTTCGACTAACTGCCCAATTTTGGTCTTTAAGAGCCGCAGAAACTCGTCTGTTTCGTGCTATATGCGTTCATAAACTTCTTGGGTACCTGTTAGTGCGTATGTTGACAGGCAGGCTGCTACCAGAATAGAATAAAATGATTTATTACGGAGCGCTCGTACCGACCAGCGCCGCTCAGCTGAGTTGCTAACCTGAAGCTAGTGGAAAAAATAGCGACAAGTATCTACTGCTGCTGCGTAGTTGAACCGAAGCATTTGGTACAAATAACGTGTCCTTGTTAATACTGGTAGCAAGTAGCTTGAAAATTTCCCCTAAGTAATGCGAATGTGTAACGCACGGATGATAATGTTAGATAGTGTTGCGTTGTGCGTGTTAGCCGAACCGATGGCGTGTTAATGCCCATGCTCTCCTTACAACGTGTTTGCTTGTTTTCTGTCATTCAGGCCAAAATCAAGGCAAGAGATCTGCGGGGCAAGAAGAAGGAGGAGCTGCTGAAGCAGCTCGACGACCTGAAAAATGAGTTGTCCCAGCTGCGAGTGGCCAAGGTTACTGGTGGAGCTGCTTCCAAACTCTCCAAGATGTGAGTACTGAACATAAATCCTACTGAACCAAACCAACCCAGATGATCCTTAACCGGTCAGATAGATACTTGTAGTCAGGGATGCATGGGATGTCATTCACTTAGCATCCGATAGCACTTGAGTAAATACTTTCCCAACCACAGTTGTAATGAGAAATGTTTAGTTTTGCTGTTGTTTCGCTGGGTTAATCTAGCTAATAGGTTTGGATTCCATGGCTCACTGCTGTCACTTGAAGAAGTACAGAATAAGTAATGACCATAAAGTCAGCAAGTTCAGAGTTGGCACACACTATGAAAGAGTTGTCCTGGGGATACATTTCTTTGCTATAGGTAACCCCATCTAAAGAGAAACTTGCATGTAGTTTAACAGAAGTTTACATGGATGTTGAGTCATTTGAGTAACATGTGACTGCTCAGACTTCTAGCTCTGGCTGATTTGTTGGCCGTGTCCCTTTTTAATGTGTTTAGGAAGCAATATTCTATTAAAATGTGTAATTGAAATACCTGAGAGTGAATATGAACAATGACTTAAAAGCTAAGAAGAGCAAATGAAGAAACAATATAACCAAAAATGATTGTTTAAAGCCCCACGGATTTGTCTTTAAGTCTTCATTTTTGCCTTAACATTGACTTTGGTCCAGTATTTTAAAAGCGTGTTTGTATATTGATGTGTGGTTCACTCTGTTTTTGTTGCCTGACCTGAAATACATACACAACAAGACATTTGTTAGAATCATTGCAGTTTTTTTAAGTACATTAAAACAGCTAATGTGCTCTTGTCTTGGACACTTTCCTAAGTGGTTGCACGGCTGACTTTGCTGTTTATTCTTCACAGCCGTGTTGTTCGCAAGTCCATCGCCAGAGTCCTGACTGTAATCAACCAGACACAGAAGGAGAATCTGAGGAAGTTCTACAAGGTGAGCCCCTCCAGCTGTTCCCATGTTAAAACACACACATCTGCCTGCTTCAAACTCCTTCGGTTCTTGCTGAAGCATCGCAGCTGATTACCAAAATTACTTGTGACTGTATTTGATATTAAGAAGTAGTCAAAGGAGCTTGCAAAGAAAACGATGACCTGGATGACTGAGAACCTTCACAGACATATTAAGAAGTAAGAATTCTAAACAAGGCACGGCTGTGATTAGCCTGCTCTTCGTACCAGTAAGAATTACAAGTTAATTAAATGTTTTTGTTACTTCAATTTGATAAAATAAAGTTTGTTTCCACCAACATCAATTAAATTCATAACAGCCAATCGGTTGTTTGACTAAAACAAGTAATCACTGTCATTAACAACAAGATTACCAAGATTACATAAGCACAGGGTATAAAAGCTGTGATGCTTTGACATGAGCCAGAATAACATTTAGAAACTTCTCCTGTGTCACTTTGTTCAGTTACATGTTGTAAGGTTTTAGTCGGTGTAATCACAGTGTGATGCATTAATGCATCCGGATGCAGCCATGCTGAGTTCTTGTGTTTGCAGTGAACCCTCACGCAAAACATTTTGCTCTCTAAAACATGACACATCCGTGCTTGCAGATGGATTTTTATTGTGATTTATGCTTTTTAGCTTGACTGAAACATAACCGTTTTTGCAGGGCAAGAAGTACAAGCCCCTGGATCTGAGACCCAAGAAGACCAGAGCTCTGCGCCGCCGGCTCAACAAGCACGAAGAGAGCCTGCGCACCAAGAAACAGCAGAAGAAAGACCTCCTCTACTCAGTCCGCAAATATGCCGTCAAAGCTTAGAGGCATTTTCTAGTAACAAAATAAAATCTTTGGAACGTACTGTTTGTGTTGTTTCTCCATAAACACTTAAATACATACATGAACCAGGCCATGTTTCTATGTTACAGTAACGTTTCAGAAGTGTGTGCCTGCTCTTTAGTGTCTTTGTTACAGGCAGTCAAAAAGGAGATACCTGAAGTTAATTTCAGCAAAGGGACATTCTGTGTTTATCAATCTAATGACCTGTGTATAGCCAAAAACACCACTAGAGGGCAGCACAGTCAGGGCAGTAACATCCCAAATACTGAATGACTCGTGCTGTGAATTTGTGAAGTCTTTATTTCAAAGGCACTGTGGCAACTACAAACAACTTAGTCGTAGCATCTGCTTAACATCAGATCTCTCATGTCTACCAACAGCAGCTCCGTGATGGTGCTGGGTTAACTGGCACAACGCTGGAAGTCTCACTGCAGCCAATAACATGTTTTTCACAACAGGAGCTGGTACACGGTGTTTGGGGACATACATGTATAGCATTAGTCAGCAAACAGTGCCTCACGATATATGAACTTAAACTATTTAAAGTTATACAACCATTTAACTTTGTGTTTTTTAGGGCAACATGATTTCTGCCACAAACAAACACACATTTAAATAGATCTGAAAAGACAATCAATTCATATCAGACTGAAGAGGTTTAGAATTAATACAAAAGGCAAAAATTGATGACATGCAGCTCCCGCACCGCCTGCTTCATGTACTTTGGGTTCTGTCTTTCATGCTGATGCGACTTTACACGTACAGCTTATCTAAACAACTATCTAACCCTTGATGGCAGTGATGTTCCCTGTTGCAAGCAGCCTCTTTCAGGAGGATAACACACCCTGCTGTACTGAAAACATTATTCGGGAGGGTTTGAGGAACATGAAGACGAGCTCTCCATATTATCTAGATTCCATCGATCTCAGCATCTGTTGGATGTGTTTGATTGACAGATCCAAACTCTATAGAAGCTCTACCTTGTTCACAGGTTCAGTTTAATTCAGTTAAATCTTATGTATATAGAACCAAATCACTGCCACAGTTGCCTCAAGGCGTTTCATACTGTAAAGAGCCTACAATATTAATAACTAGCACCTGTAATAGTACTAATTGGTGCTAATCTCCTGAAGCCAGAGCACCTTCACAGGTCCTGTAAAGTATGCGCTGTATCAGTGCTGGTGTACTGTGTACATCAAGTTAGGAAAATGGTTTTAATGTGTGATGATGGAGTTCTTCCATGAGGACGCCGGGCTTGTCTCTGTGTATGCAGGGGCATTAATCTGAGCTTAGAGAGTCTTAGGAATGTGAGGAATGGTAATCACCTTTACTCTAATTACTTTTCTACCCTCACCATACTGTCAGCTACGCTTGAGGTACCTCACAGCACATAACTCGCCCCTGTCCACTGCTGCGGCTCACACCGCCAGTATGATCCCTAACGCTGTCTTCCTCACACTATCTGTTTGTTTGGGCCTGTTTTGCCCGACTGCCTCCTCTCATGGGAGATCTGCTAAGAAGGCAGGCTGCTTCAGAGTCAACAGCTGCAAATGCATCATGCAGAATGGCAGCGGAGTTATAAGCCTGAAGGCTATGGAAGATGCAGACGGCTTCCTGGGTCGTTTGAAGCCCGTGGCAGCAGGCAGTGTGGTCCCGGTGGACACAGAGGTCCTCCTGTCCTTCAGCCCCTGCCAGCATTTCTCCCTGCCGGATGACTTCACAGGAAGTGACTGCACCGATGTCGCAGCATGCCTCATTGTCAGGTAGAACAGACGCATTACTCTAACGAGCATGTAGATTTATGTCACACCAACTGTAGAGACTGTATTCGCCTCAGCACGTCTCTCTCTGTGAATTTGAGCTGTGAACAGTTCTCACCTGACTGTTTTAACCTCTGGTAAACATTTCGATAAACTCCAGTGGTTTCCACCATTGATTAAGGCTTCCTTTGGACTCTGTGTTGGCATCCAATCCCAGGAAATGTTGAACTGTAGACACTTCGTTTCCTTCTCTCTGCAGTCATTTTTGAAGGAAACGTCTTGATTTATGTAAAGGAAACACAAACACAAGGCCGTGGCTCACAGCTTATTGAGTTTTCAGAAAACATTAAATGTTAAACATCTTTCTTCCGTAGTTGTAGACCTGCTTTGTGAATGTGAGCATAGGTTTTCTCTGGAGCACTCACGGATGCCTTACACGTCTCGCACGGGATATTTTAACTGTAAGACAGCACATTCTAGTTGTTAATGCACTACTTGACCTTTTCCAACATCAGCATCGATGTCTTTAAAGGAACGCATGCTCAAACAAAATTAGCACTGGCTGACATAAACTGGGAAAAACTGCTGCGAGGTTTCTGTTCTGGATTGCTTTAAAAATTCTCTGCAGGTTTCTCAGGTAATTTTATCCTGATTGTCCTATTTTGTAAACATGTTTGACTCTGTTGTGCTGTGTTGTGTTTTCATCCTTCCAGAGATGGTTACGCATTGAGCTGAGTGGTCTAACATCGGGCTTGTCTCGTGTCTTCATGAATGTGCATGTTCAGCTATAGTAAATGTGTTTTAATAGCTGAGAGAACCTTGAAAAACTCTCCAAACGCTGCTCATCACACCCTCCTGTTCCTCACTGAGGACTGTTGTCGTAGTTCAAATGTATGTGTTCTAAATGTTGGGGGAGTGTGTCCCCAGCGCTCCCGCCTGAAATCTACACCATGTCGTGACTCAAGAGGCTGTGCAGCTGCTGACTGAGATCACAGCACTGTGTGTGTTCTTGGTGTTTGGGAGTAAAAAAGGCCCGTGGCTGAAGAACCAGCCCAGTTAAAGGAATTTACTGAGAGACGTTATAGTCTTATAGAAGTCATCTCTTTCCTTCAGTCTTACTCGGGGATGAATGTACAATATTGTGCAGAATTCTCAACCCACCCCTCGTTTCTTTATATTTTACCCCCTTTAATGGGATGTGTTTTTCTCGCCATTGAAAATATGCAGTTGTAGACTAATTGTTGCCTCTTTGGGTTTGATGTGACAGGCGTTCTTTGGTCATTTTCTTTTTTTACTGAATTCACAAAAGTCTCCATCTGATAATTTAAACAACCTGTTTCCTCTAAATCCTCTTAAAGTGATGTTTGGTCATTTGTGATGAAGGTCAGTGGGTTTTTCCCCATAAATGTTGTCAGGTTAGACTTGAAGTCTTTCATTCGATTGCTGTGAGTGTGTGTGTGTGTGTGTGTGTGTGCGTGTGTGTGTGTGTGTGTGTGTGTGTGTGTGTGTGTGTGTGTGTGTGTGTGTGTGTGTGTGTGTGTGTGTGTGTGGTGTGTGTGTGTGAGTGTGTGTGTGTGTGTGAGTGTGTGTGTGTGTGTGTGTGTGTGTGTGTGTGTGTGTGTGTGTGTGTGTGTGTGTGTCGACACTGTAGCATTATTTCAGTACAGGTAAACTGAAAAGTTGTAAAGTGCAGTAGTTCAAAGTACTAACAATGAGAGGTGAAAGTAGTTCTTTACCTTACTCACTAACATGTGATATGACAAGCAGTTAAAGTTAGTACCTAAAACTGGTCAGATCTTTGCAAACACTAATAAAGAATGAAAGCCACTGTGAAGTCTCCATCCATCTTCTTCCTCCTATGCAGAGCAGGGTCGCAGAGAAGCCCAGACCTCCCTCTCCCCACACACCTCCTCCGGCTTGTCGGGGAACACCACGGCGTTCCCGGCCAGTCGAGAGATATCATCTCTGCAGCGCTACCACTACATTGGACACTGATGTGTCACTCCATACACATCAGTTGTCCAACTGAGTGGACATGTAGTAAACTCTTTGAAAAGTACATGTTTAAAAAAATGAAGTTTTAAAGTCATAATTCATACACGACACGTTTAAACTCCTCCAACTGAATTCGTACTTAAAAAAAAAGCCAGCAAAGAGGTGTGAGGATGCTTAGAATTTGAAACTGTGATCCTGACAACATTCACCGCTACAGGGTTTATTTTGTATTTTATTAAATATGCTTCTAAAACAGAGAATTTGAGATTATTTTATCACTAGAAGAAAACAAGTTTTTCTGCTTTACAGATGTGGCAGTTGCCTCAATCCCTCTGCTGTTCTTCTGTGAACAGGGATCACAGGCTCGGCAGACACATCAGCCAGTATATCAACTATGGAAACCATGAAGGGAACGAGTTCTACTACAACGACACACTAAAGCTGCTGTCTGTCTCCTACTTTGGTGAGCCTCACTAACACACTAATCCAACATATACAGACGTTTGTTACTGTGCTGCCATACTCCAACCCCTTCTTCTTCTTCTTCTTCTTCTTCTTCTTCTTCTGTCTCAGCTCACAACAAGCTCCCAATGACAGTCGTGCATTACCACTGTAATCCAAATCAGTCCACGTCTGTCAACCAAGAGCAGAGCCTGAGCAGCAGGGAGCCCCTGCAGATGTGGGTGGAGAGCCTCTGTGCTTGTCCAAATGCCTGTGCCGTGGGAGACCTGGGTGTAGGCACCATCTTCCTCATCATCCTCTCCTTCAGTGCAGCTGCATACTTCCTCCTTGGTAATGGTTTGAGTCCAATAAGTTGTTGTTACACTTTATCATCATGTTCACTCCTCAGCAGGAGCATGAAAGTGTTGCTTGGATTCCAAACAACATCGTTTAGTGATGATGTTTATTGTAGATCAGATGTCACAAAGTCCACGACTGTTCAAGATGAAAGTGATACAAAGCAAATAGTGAGACTGTATACAAGTAACAGAGTCCAAACATCAGGCCGTGCTCATTTAATTTTCATTTAATGTGCAAAGTTTTGTTTAAAAAAAGTTTATAGTTTCTTCCCATCTTCTGTCGGCGAGAGGGGAACGTAGATGCTCATATAAACAAGTTTCCAGTAATGGCATCAGTTGATGTAGAAGTAATCCCTGTGAGCCCAAAGCTCAGGCTCTCGTCTGCCCTAAATCCTTGTTTCTGCTTGTATGTCAGTGAGCGCTGCTCCCAGCTGTTCTTCTTCCTGCTGACAGGCTCCTGTGCACTGAGACCCTTTCGCAGCAGCAGTGGTGCCCAGATCTCTCCAGAGCACAGCGTGTGGTGCATGATCTGCTACCTGTTTGCCGACAGGAGGCCAGCAAGAAGACGCGACACAGATGCGACAGATTGCACGCAGGACGCCGAACGCTGCAGCTCGCCTCGGCCTGGCTCTATTCTACAGTGTGCTTAAAGCACAATGAGAAGAATCACACACCTCTTACAGAACAAGTCAGACCCTACAGCTGATTTGTTGAATGCTTAATAAAAGACACTTTAACACTAACAACCAGCAGTGACGATAGCAATAACATGCTGTCACCTTAAAAGGAGAACTTTAACTTGAGCCAAGCAGTTTTTCTTTGTACAATTAACAAATCAAAGGAAAAAGAAATGTAACTCCAGCTCATTCATTTTCCACTGCTGCTGGAATAATTGGGACTTTAAACTGAGAATATTCAGTCAATCAAGAGATTTGATGTGAAAATGCATGTTTGGGTTGCCTTTTTTATTGAGCCACGAGATGGCAGTAATTTACAGGATGGATGCAAACAGTCATGAGAGAAACTTGGCAGACGCTGTTTTAGCTGTAATGAAAGAAAGGACTGACGGTACGTGAGTAATGAATGATCGAACACTGCTCATCCTGCTTGTCCTGACAGAAGGCTGCTGCTTTAGAGAGGAGAGTGACTGAAAAACAGGCTTTTTCATTGTTTTCTGACACATCACTGAGTCCCTATTGACTCTCATGTTAAAAGACTAAAGTACAGCAATAACCTGTAACTTGGCCACTTGGGTTTATAAAGCCTTAAAGTTAGAACAGTGACTACAATAACCACCAGGTGCACCAACAGCAGCAGCTGTAGCTGATAGCGGCCTTCAAACGGACTGTTTGCAGTCTGGAAGTGCTTGATCAGCTCGTCACAGGACTTCAGTGAACTCTGTGGTTTCTATCGCTCTAATAAACTCTTTGGTTGTTTGTTAGCCGTGTCCTGTTCTCTTCATTCTCACGCTCTCCGTTTTCCACATTCTACGTTTTTCTAGTTTGTCGCTACAGCTGTCATTTGTCCAGGTTTTATTTTGAAACAACACTCCTGCTCCACTAACAGTATATGTTGGCATGTCAGTTGTCCACAGAGATCTCATTAGTTTGGCATTTTCTCAGGTGTCCCTGCAGTGCATAAACACCGTCGTGCATCAGAGGTCACCTGGCTCTCAGAGCAGAGCGTTGATATATATCTGAGGAGAAACTACACCACCTCATTAGGTGTGTTTGTGTGCGCTGGTCATGTGGGGATTCTTTTGGGGTTAAACTGGCTCAGAAGGTTGTGATCAGCTGGTGATGTGCTGTGGACTGCTGAGTCCTGGATTAGGCTCGTCTTCACTGGTGTGTGACACGTGTGAGATGGTTAGTTTAACCTCACGTTCTTCACCGCTGGTCTCCTCTGATAAATTCCTGCAAGGAACCAGTATGATAAGTGTGCGTGGTACATAGTGTATAGTTTATGTTTTTGTGCGTATGCAGGAGTACCTTAGCTGTTCCTACGAGATGTTTTAGACTATTTTTAAAAGCTAACTAATGTTTTGTTTTCTAGTTTGTCACCGATCTTCACCACGTCGGGAATAAAACGTCTCTAGCTAGGATGTAATGGTATAATAATTCCATCGTTCCTTTCAGAAGTTTTTGTTTTTTACTGATGATCCTTTGAGAAATGTAATAAAAACACTCACAGCAGCAGGGGGCAGCATGTTACCAGCGACTGGGTTGAGATATTCCTTCCTCAAGAACAAGAATATAAATAAGAAGAAACTGAAATAATAAGAAGATGTTCTTAATGCTTAAATTCTGCGTACACCCTCTTGTGATACAGTTTCATGTTATATAAGCACAGCTCTGTCGTGGTCCAATATCAGCTCCTATCTGCTGAACACACTGATGGGAATAATATGCAGTCATTCTGCTTACACCCGGCTGTGTGGGATTTCTGCTCTTGGCTCTGAGAAACAAGACAATGTTGTGCGTGCTTGATGAACACCCAGTTCCAGTGAATCCCAGGGTCTCCCCCTGTCACTGCACTGGTATTTTACAGAGCTTCTTTTTATAAAACATCCTGTAACTTTATCCTTTTTCCTTCTTTGTTGCATGGAATAATGCCATGGATATAACAAATCCCATGTAGGCCCAGCGGACATGACTTTCCATGCACTGCAGTTGCTCTAATTGCTTGGGAAAATAGTTTTTGTCTCCCCACCCTCGTGCTGACATCACTTCTGAGACCTGTTTGGGAAAGGAGGGTGAAAACTACAAATGTTTATCCCAAACAAAGCTGAAAGTGATGCAGATTCATCGTTTCCTACGACTTAGAACAGCCTCTGTGCTCATACCTCATCTCCCGTCCGTCTGTGTCCTGCTTCTCATCTTCACACAGTGATGACGGCAGATATAGATGGAGCTCTGAAACCTTTGTGGAAGCAGGATGTGTGTGTCGAGCTGGCCTCTTGCTGTCGCAGGGGGTTCTCGAGGTCTCTGTGCAGAGTATGTGTTTCAAAGAGTTTATCACTCTAAGACACGCAGCTTTGAACTTAGACACATCTACACTGCAGATGTCATTTACCGCTTGATCTGGGTGATAGATTGGGCATGACTACATCTGAACAACTGTGTCTGCTTATCACTAGAGGATATCCAAAAGGCAATTACCCAAACTGCAGCAAAAACATCCATTAATCCAAATACAGCAAAGCCAATAGAATAATAGAGAAAGAATGCAAAACAGAGACTTTCATGTCAGTTGGCAATGAAATGAGATTATTTGCTTAAGTCACCACAAACATCTGTTTCTCTCCAAAGCCAGAAGAAGAATTCATATACGCATGTTGTCTGGATATGATTGTAGAGATTTACAGGCAGATGGAAGCTGTTGTGTTTGTGTGCATGTGTGTTGATCAAAAGCTCTTTTAAGTGGTTAGCAGTGTGAAAAAACAGCAGCTTTAGCCATCATTGCTAAACGTACACATTAATACCAGCAGATAGTTCTCAATAATAAAGACGATATTGTGTTTGTTTGATCAAATCCCCAAATTACATCTGGTTTATTTTCATCAATCAAACTACAGAATTTCTCAAAGCTGAACATCAAAGACGTTTCTTAAATACCTATACATGAATCTGAATGACATCTACGTCTTACTTCAAAGAGCATTTACTGGGGTCAGGGTTGAGTTTGCTTAAAAATCATAGTTTTAAAACCATGAGGTTACATTTCAAAGGATTCATTTTGACATTTTCGTTTAAGAACTTTTATAATTGATTGATCCAAATGGTAACATTGTTATGAACAGAGGGACGTTAACTGAAGCCTAAGCCTGTGGGATGGATGAATTTGAAGAGGCTGTGATTCTGTCTTGATTGGTATCAATAAGACAGAATCAGTCTGCTGCTAATGTGGGACTGAATGGGCTCAAGCTGTGAATGAGATGTTTCTAATAATGTTTTTAATGATGTGGAAAAAAACTGTAAACATATCTTATTTTTATTTCTGCAAACACAGAACTACTTAAATTCAGTTCAGCATAAGTTGAAACAGAACTTTTTAGCATCAATAGCGAGGCAGTTGATGCAGGACAGCGATCGCCTTCTGACTGTGGTGGTCGCTGCACTGAAATACTGAATATGAACACTTGAATGTATCACACATTTTTCCTGGTTGCAATCCTATTTGTACTTTAGTGTGACTGAACTATAGGACTGCGCTTTGTAATATGTCACATGACCAAATGATACAAACTCCCCTAGAACTTAATGGGATTTTAATGTTTTTTGTTTGAAACAACAGTGAAATCATAGAAAGAAGAAATAACTGTAATATAAGTCATTTTAAATAGTGTGATGTTAAGCTGTGCATACATGTCTGCATTTAAAAGGAAAGTACACACAAATAAGACTGCAAGTCATTTCAAGCAGTGTGTAACTTCCAAGCAATTCAGTGGAAAAACAACATTTTCCCATCTTTATATTCACTGTGCTTTTAGTGCCAATGACTATGTTATACTTGTGGCTTAACCTTGGCTTTCTAATTTGCATTATGCATTGCATTGGTTTGCATCACAGATGTTTAATTAGTCAGTTGTCCTTTTGTACTAAAAACATAAGAACTGATTCCACTTTTCATATTAGAAAAATAAATAAACAGCAGCAAATACTGCAGGACATAGGCCCATGTTGTCTTATAATGATGGAGCCAAGGCAAAATTAAAGAAATAATAACTTTTCAAAAATATTTATATTCAAACCAAAGTGTAAGTGAGAATAAATAGAGTTGTGTGGAGCATTTTTCATCTTTTTGGCCTGTTTAACAAACATATTTGTGGATCTAGTGTAGAGTAATCACTAGAATTAAACAAATGTAACATGTAATGAAGGCTGTGTGCCTGCTGTGGAGTGAAAACTGAAAACACATTGTGAACGTCTTTAGCACTGGACGTGCTTTTGGATTCACTCACCTGTTCTTTCATCGACTGGATCTTTGCTTTGGCCCACAGTGGGAGCTCCACTTTGTGAGGTCGTCTCAGGTCTGCTCCCAGTTTTGGACCTTGATGCTGGTTTTGCTCTGCTTTCCAGCCTCAGCCTGATGCTGCTGAGCAGTTTCTCATCTCCTCCCCCTCTGCTCTGTGGGATCACCCTTCCACTGCTGGGCCTCTGCAGGAGGGGGCAGCAGTACCCCTGCACTGTCACAGAAAATTGGAAAATTAATCTTCATCATATTATATACAATATTTAGCAAAACAAATGAGAATAACTCCATACATCACAAAACAAGACAGTTTTTATTCTCCTGACATTTACACTTGTCTTTTCCTTTGGGTTATGGTTAGTTATCAATGTGCCACTGCCAAAGAACATGCACCACCAATACAGGCTTTATAGGTATGTTAAGGAAAAGGGAGACCCTGGAGATGGCGGCATCATATTCCACATTGAGATAAATATCTTGTGAGTGCCTTCTTAAGTTGAAGCTCAAACTTTTATAAAGTAAACTAAAGTGAAAAGAAAGAAAACTTTACTGTTAATCACGACTGAAGGTGCTGTGGTATCAGGCAGCAACAATGTTGCCAGTTAAGTCTTGTAACAGGTGGAACTGTCGTGGATCACATTTGTTCCTTGAAGTCAAATAAAACACTGTGATAAAACAT